TCAAAGTTCGGCCCGGCCGAACTAACAGATTTTTTACTTATTTTTGTTTGTGTTGTTGTTGGTGTATCGTTGTTGCTGCTACCCTCTTTAATAATCGCTATGTTGTTGTTGCAATCATCAACCGTCATTGTTTCCGGCATCTCTTCTTCGTTGTTGACAATTTTTACTCCTATATTCCTTTTGGTTTTAGCCTTTGGTTTATTGGCACACGCCGTACCGAAGCCCCTGCTTGCTTCGACAGCCCAATCATTATTTTGTTCTTCAATGATCTCACTTTGAAATTTCTAATTCAGTGTCACTGCCACTACTGTGCTTTTCTTTTTTTTTCGAAATTTTTTATCTTTTTCGTTTCCTTTTAGTTTATCTTCAGTAATTATACTACTATGATCTGAGAAAAACTCACTGCTTTCCATTTTGGTAATGTTTTATTTTGTCGGTCTTTGGCCATTTGCCTTGCCCTAATTAAAATAAAGCTTATTTTTTCTAAATAATGTGTCTTATTGTTCAATGACAGGAATCCAATAAGAATTCGATAATGTAACACTTTGTCAAAAAAACTTCACTTTTTAACTTTAATATTTAACTTTTCACTTTTTGTTATTTTCCACTTGATGATATCACTTTGAATGTTCGACACTGAGTCGCTCGGTGAGGTACCAGAAGGGGTTCAAAGATATATATCATCTGCACAACAGATATTGTATTAGCAAAAATATTTGAATGTGTGAAATTTGAAGAGTGTTGAATGATTATTTTGCTTTCTTTGAGCGTTTTGTTTTTCAAAATCTTGAACCCTATGTGGGGAAGGTAGCAAAAGAAATGGTCCGACCTCTACCATCTTTATAACAGATCTTGTGTTGATGGAAATATTGAGATGTACCAAGTCCTGAATGGAATTGGATTTTAATTTCGCTTTTTATGAGCTTAATGGATATTCAAAATTTCGACCTTTTGTGGGGGAGATCTTGGGTTTATAAAAATATTGGGATGTGCGAAATTCTAAGACAATCGGATTCTTACATCACATTTGTAAGAGTTTTAGTTATTCAAAATATTGGCCCTTTGTGGGGGAGGTACTTGATGGAGTGGACCGATATTGTCCATGTTCGCACCTGACCTGGCACTGACGCAAATATTAGGATATGCAAAGTTGGAGCAAAATCGGATTATCGTTTCTTTTTCTGTACAGAAAATATATTTTTTGAAAATTTCGACCTTTAGTGGGGGAGGTACCAAAAGGAGTGGGCCGATTTTGCCCATCTCCGAACCCGATCAAAGTTTGACAAAAATACTACGATGCACCAAGTTTGGACAAAATCGGATACTCCCTTCAAGAGTTATCGTGCGCACCAGTCAGACAGACGGACGGACGGACATCGCTAGATCGACTTCAAATGCCCTGAAACGGATTTGGTCCAAAGAGAATTGATTGGTCCAAAGAGAATTGGTATTTGAAATTCACAATGGGTTCTAGCTCCGGTGGTAGAGTACTGAATATTAAGGTCCACGTTTTCCTATAACGATAACCACCGATATTCGGTATTTTTGCAACATTTTTCAACTGATTTGTCCAAATACCTAAAATGGTAAAGACTAGACAAAATGCATTCTGAGCAAATGGTTTGTGGCTATACTACCTTGAATAACAGCTCATTACAGAGGCATGTTAATATAAAAAACACAATTATAGGAACGAATGACAAGTAAAAGTTTGTATAATCCAAAATATTGGTTTCAAAATTCTATTCCATATACCTTCCCAAATAATTGAATACTGCTTTAGCGGTTTAAATTGCTTAACATTGGTAACTATGTTGTTACGATATCATAACAACAGAGGTATTTTTCACAGGGTTGCCATATTTTGACTCTGTCTTGTCCCATCTTTATGGAGGAACATTGTACATATAGGTCCACGTTTTCGTGTAGCCCTTCCGTACCTTCCGATACTGGGTATTTTGATCGATATTCGGTATTTTGACGATTTAAGCCACATTTTCTAATAGATTTGTGTGAAATTTGGTATTTGTGCCAAAGACCTAAAATGGTAAAGACTAGACAAAATGCATTTTGAACAAATGGTTTGTGTCTACAATACATAGAGTAACAGTTCATGGCAGAGACATGTTAATATAAAAACCACAATTACAACAACGGATAACAAATAAAAATTTGAAAAATCCAAAATTTTGGTTTCAAAGTTCTATTCCAAGGGCCTTTCCGAAAATTTGCACATTGCCTTAGCGGTTTAAATCAGTTAACATTGGTATCTATGTTGTTATGATATCGTAACAACAGAGGTATTTTCACAGGGTTACCATATTTAGACTCTGCCTTGTCCTATCTTTACACTTCTATGTCTTTGTTTGTGCTTCATAATGGGCTCTACAACCGGTATAAAAACATTGCCTATTTTGGTCACATTTACCCACGAAATTATGTCAAATTTGGTATTTAAGACTCTCAATAGATTACAATTGTTGTAGTATAAAATTGTCTAATGATTAATTGAAATTTGGTAACGAAACGGGGGAATAAATAAACAAGTTAAAAAGTTTCTCTCGGTTTAGCCGACAGATGCCAATGTTCGATTATTAAAATATATTTTGACTTGTGTTATGATTATTCAAATTGTTGACCTTCTATGCAGTAGGTTCTAAAGTAATGGGCCAGTATCGTTAATTTTGTATCAAACCTAAAAAAATATGATATAAAATGTTAAAATGTGCTTGAGGTACCAAGTATAGTCGACCGCAGTATTCCATTTTTATACTTAATTTAATGCAGATAAATATATAGGGTGAAAAAATACAAGTAAATCGAATCTTTATATCCAATTTTTTGCGAATTTATAAATTTCATATTTATCTCCGGTTTCTGGTTGAAAGCAATATTTAGCAAGTAGTAAAGGAAAAGTATTAAAAATTGTGCTCCTTTGTGGGTGAGGCACCAGAAGGGGAAGCACAATTCGCAGATATGTATCATCTTCACCACCGATCTTGTGTTAGCAAAAATATTTGTATGGGGTGAAATTTGAAAAGAGTTGGATGCTCATTTCGATTTCTTTGAGCGTTTTGTTTTTAAAAATCTTATGTGGGGCAGGTACCAGAAGGAATCGTCCGATCTCTACCATATTTATAATAGATCTTGTGTTGATTGAAATATTGAGATCTACCAAGTCTAAATGGAATCGGATGTTAATTTCGCGTTTTATGAATTGAATGGATATTCATGGATATTCAAAATTTTGAGCCTTTTTGGGGGAGGTACCACAAGAAGTGGACCAATATATTCCATCTTATCAGCAGATCTTATAAAAATATTGGAATGTGTGAAATTTTAAGACAATCGGATTCTTACATCACATTTTATAAGAGTTTTAATTATTCTAAATATTGGCACAAATATTATTCAAAATTTTAACCGTTTGTGGGGAAGGTACCTGATGGAGTGGACATTGCCTATTATCCATTTTTGCACCTAACCTAGCACTGATGAAAATATTAGGATTTGCAAATTTGGAGCAAAATCGGATTATCTTTTATCTTTCTGTGCAATAAATTATTTTCTTTGAGAATTTTGACATTTTGTGTGGGAGGTACCAGAAGGAGTGGACCGAACTCGATCAAAATGACAATAATATTACGATGTACCATCTTTGAATCAAATCGGACAGACTGACGGACGGGCATCGCTAGATCGACTCCAAATGTCCTGAAACGGATTTGGTCCAAAGAGACCTAGGATCTAAAACCGTTATTTCGACTAGGAAAATTATATATATGATATCAAATGATATAAACCCTCTGTAGCCATATAGCTCAGGGCATAAAAAATTAATGAATAATGTAGCTGAAACCATAAAAAGACAATGCACAGACAATATTATGTCATAAACAAGTCGCTAAAATCATCAAAATACCGCATTTTGGGAGGTACTGTTATATGCGGACTATACGAAGACGTGGACTTGCACAGACAATTTTCTGTTTTACGCTGCAGCATCGATTACAAATATCAAATACCAAATTTGAAACAATTCCGATTAATAATGTCGCTAAACTCATCAAAATACCAAATATCGGTAGGTACCGTTATATGGCGGCTATACCAAAACGTGGACCTACATGGCCCAATTTCAATACCAAAAGTCCAGCAGATATAATATACATTTGAGTAAACTTTTATCAATCTACTTCAATTCGTTCGGAAGCTGGAGTGATTTCCACAGATGGACATACGGACGGACATCGCTAAATCGACATAGAATTTTATACTGATCAAGAATATATATACTTTGTGGAGTCTAAAATGTATATTTCGAGGTGTTACAAACGGAATGGCAAACTTAATATACCCTCCATACTATGGTGGAGGGTATAAAAATCAAAGACCTAAAATGGTAAAGACTGGACAAAATGCATTTTGAGAAAATGGTTTGTGTCTACAATACATAGAGGAACAGCTCATGACAGAGGCATGTTAATATAAAAACCACAATTACAAAAATGAACAAAAAATAAAAGATCGAAAAATCCAAATATAGGATTTCAAAATTCTATTCCATAGCCTTTTTCAATTAATTACATATTGCCTAAGAGGTTTAAATCGCTTAACATTGCTAACTATGTTGTTACGATATCATAACAACAGAGGTATTTTCGCAGGTGTCCTGTCCTGCGGACCTCTATCGTCTGGAGTGGGAACTAATTTACAGACGGGGTTGGCTGGCTGACAGTTTGCTCCGGCAACAGCTCAGTCTATGGGGGTCGCAGTTCTTGTCAGTAAACTAGACCTCGATAAAGTGGACAAAAAACTAAAATATCTATGGCCAGCGGGAGGATAAACAAAGGAACACAACATCGAGTCATCTCGTAGTGAATTAAATTCTTTTCGGTCTGAACTTGATTAGTTACTTGGGCACGTTTGGTTGTTTATTGTGCCTGGAGAAATTCCCTCCCCACCATGGTATTCCTGTTCTCCAATTTTTTATTATGGAATACCCCATACTTTCCCCACCTGTGTAGATCTACACTTCCTTACCTATTTTATTTAGTGCTCCATATTACAACACATATTTTTCATTCATTTTAGATCCACGTTATAAATATCTTTATTCATTCTAATTTAATACAGTTTTCTTGGAATTTCCTATTTATCCATATTAAACAACTAATTCAATGATTTTTTTTATGTAATGTAGGCAAACATAGTTGAAAATTAAATCGTAATTATAATTCTGAAGCAATTAAAACCAACGTTTAATAATAATTTAGGCAATTCAAATAAATATTTAAACTAATCTGCGCTGAACGCCAATTAACTCTCTTCTTCTTCTTCTCAGGTTGCCCAGACGGACATGAATGCTGAATGCGGCTGTTAAATTCTGGCTCTTCCCAATATGTAATGTAAGTATTTGTATGTTTTAGAGTATTAGCGTTATAATTATATTCCGAATTAACGATATTTAATACATTTTCTTTTTTTTTCATTACAGATTAAGGACAAACAAAGGAAAGTGTCGCCTAAAAAACAGAAACGACAACACTAGAACACATCGAAGGATGGTCACCTAACCCAGAGTTGAGCTCAATTCGGAGTCCTAACCACCTGTACCTCAACGACAAGGTAAATAAAAATCAATATAAATCGCCTTGTTTACTCCTTTTTCCTTTTTAATACCTCTTCTTTCTTTTCATGAAATAACAACCCGGAATTTAATTAATCAGAGTACTTATGTCTATTGGGAACTATACCAGCGCATGCCGGACTGCCTATGCGTTTATACAGCGCCTCCCTCGTTGGACTTGGACAGCGAAGAGTGTGACTCCCGTTTAGCTTTAAGTAGATTTAGTTATAGTTGTACTTTTTGTTCATATGCTAACTGTTAATATGATCCTCTTTGTTTTAAATCCAAATCGGTATTATCTCATAATATTTGTCTTAGATTCGTTTCAATTTAACTTCAAACCAAAATATTGTTTGTATTTCTATGTTTGTTAATCTAAGGAGATTTAAATGTTCAATTGTTCTCCTTTTTGTATTCTCTAACAAAAAAACTCAGTTCAATTTATATGCATATGTGACTTGTTGCACATTGCATTCAATAAAAATTACAGTGCACCAACAACTTCAAATTTGTTCTTTGGGGATTTTGGGAGGTCACACGTCCAGTCTTCTTCGTGGATGTTGTAAGAAAGGACCATTTTCCTACCTTTTTTTTGACAAATCATTTCTCCTGCCATATTGTTATCTTTCCTTTATTTCCCCTCTATGACATTTTACAACTGTTATACAAAACAGCTGTTCTTGGTGTATGATATCAATTCTTCTTCTTCTTATTTTTTTTTAAAAATTAACCCTACCAGGCGCACACCACACAGGGCTGCCAAATTTTGACTCTGTCTTGTCCCATCTTTGTCTTTGTAAAAATACAGATTCAAGATTTATTTTATTTACCCAATTCATTTGTTTTACAAAGTTTTCCTTAACTCTAATTACATAACCATAAGTTTTTTTCCTTACAGTGTAATACTTTTTCAAGGAATATTTCATTTAATTATATTAATTAATCAGGTAGGCCAGCCCCATTTCCAATTTTTGATTTATTTTGACTTTGTCATTTATTGTTTATAAAGATAAGAAGAAGAAAGGCAGAAAAAACTTGTTTTGCATTTCAATCTTGTATACTAAAAAAACTATGCTACTTAATACTACTTAAAAACTAGTATTTACATATGTACAATTTTTGATTTTCCTTATTCAAATTGTTTAGTGCTATACATAGTATTTTCTATATTAAGTGTACAATGTCTTCTATTATAAAATAATATTTTTCCTTCTTCATTAAATATTAGGTTTTTACTATTTAAATGTATTAAGCACATGGGTGATAAATGTCCATAATTTTCCAGGTATCTATTAAATATTTCCTCATTTATTACTCCATTTTTTATCATAGTATTTTCATGTGTTTGCCACCTATCAATTATTTTTAGTGCAGATTCCATCATGAATTTGTCTATTCTTTTTGTTTTACTGGCTTTATATAATTCCCTTCTAGAGGGTGTCCTAAAACTGCCATCTTCTAATTGTTTTGTTTTCATATTAAGGCAATATGCCAACATTCTTCTTTCAAAGATTCTGATTTTCTCCATTTGTTTTGACGATATGTCAAACCAAATAAGAAAAGCATAGGATAATATTGGTCGAATTAATTGCTTGTATATGCACATTTTGATATGGCAACTTAAACCTCGTTTTTTATTTAATATACATAGTATTTTTTGTAGACCTGTTTTTGCCTTTCTTAGGATATATTCTATGTGATTTCTAAATGAGTATTTTTCATCTAGGACAACTCCTAAATATTTTAATTCGTTAACAGTTTCAATTGTTATATTATTGATTTTTACCACTGGTCTAAATTTCTTGCCATTTTTATATAGTCTGCATTTTTTCCTTTTATTATTATTGTTTTGCATTTATTTATATTATGTCGTAGTTTCTATATCTGAAAATATTCTTGAAGTACGTCCAGGTAGTCATTTATTTTCCTTTGTGCTATTTTTGCTTTATGATGTGTGGCCGCTATGAGAATGTCATCTGCAAATGTTATTATCAGCTGTCCATTTTCAGGTTGTGGGGTGTCAGCTAGGTAAAGGTTGTACAATACCGGCCCTAAAACTGAACCCTGTGGAACTCCTGATTTAATATCATATTTAATGGATCTACTTTCCTCTATTTCTACTGAAGATGTTCTTTTATGAAGATAATTTTTAATTATTTGCATAATTTGATTTTCAAACCCGTATGTTTCCTCCATTTTTTTTATTATACCTGCTTGCCATACAGTATCAAAAGCCTTTCCAAAATCTAAGCTTACCGCTATTGTAGCACTCCTATTGTTAAATCCTGCCGATACTTTATTGGCAAGAGCCATGAGGGCATGAGTTGTTAACAATCCCTTCCTAAATCCAAATTGAAAATCTTTTAATGTATTATTATCATCTATGTGATTTTCTACCAATTTTAGTATAAATATTTCTAGGATTTTGCCTAAGTTAGATAAGAGCGATATTGGCCTATAATTTTTTGGCGAAGTTGGGTCTTTTCCAGGTTTTAAAATCGAAATTATTTTGGCATGTTTCCATTTTTTGTGGAAGTATCCTATATTTATGCAATGATTAAATATTATTGCAATATTTTGGTTTACAGAAAATTTTACTCTTAAAATTGCTCTGTAAATATAATTTTTATGCTAACATGTCACTGTTGTGAGCAGCGCCTCTATATATTTTTCACATTAACTATTTTTCCATTATGCATTTTGTCCAGTCTTTACCATTTTAGGTCTTTGGTATTATGGCACTAAGGGTAATATAGGTGTCTTGATCTAGAACTCTATGCCTCCTTCGCTTTAAATTTTTCTTTTGTTTAATTAAATGTAGTATATTAAGAGGGAGCTCTGCTAGCATCCCGTATTTTGGTATAAATTTGTTCATACTTTTTTCCATTGATTCATTTATTATTTCTGTCAGTACTTCAATTTCCTTATCTATTTCTTCAACAGTAGTATTTCTATTGGTTGGTAGAGATAGTCTATGTTGTTGTTTTAAAATCGTAAATTTCTTCTTGCATTCTTCATTCTATTCTATTGGTTATTATTTCCATAATTATGGCTTTATGATCTGACTCATAATCCAATGTTTGGACGCATCTGGATGGGTCAGATGAGCATACGCCTACACTGTTAGTTGTTATGAATATGTCAATAAATGATTGTGAATTAAAATAATAGGTAGTTGGCTCGATTGATGGTCTAATTATTAAGTTTGGAGAGGTATCAATCCATTCCCCTAATATTTTTCCACTAATATTAGTGGTATTACCTCCCCATAATGAATTCTTTGCATTAAGTTTAGCTCCAATGATTGCCTCCTTGCTTCCAATTAAATTATTGATTTTTAAAAGATCAATATTTCTTAGATTATCTGTAGGTTTTTTATATAGAGACATAATAATCATGTCATTGTAAGCGTTATTTAGTTTTATGACTGTACCTTCTATTTCACCTAGATCAGCCGGTACTCGTTCGGCCTTTGTCTAATCTTTTACTAACGGCCACAACTCCTATTTTGGCGAAATGTTATATAATGTTTCATATCAAATTTATTTCTGGCAGACAATTTATGCTCAGCTATTAATAATATGTCTGGATTATTCTTTTTAATAAATAATTCCAGATAATGTCTCTTGTGTCGTGAGACTACTGAATTGACATTAATAAATATAATTTTTAATATAGTCTTAATTCTAGTAGTAGCCCTAGCATTGCCTGGGCCTTTTCCTCATCTGTTTTTAGCTGGTTACGCGTTTTTGAATATTCTTGTATTTTTCTAAGCGTTGTTAGCATATCTTTACCTATTAATTTTTTACAATCATTATTGAATATTTCAAAGGCATATCCATTTTATGGCGCTTTGTTATTCGCCAATGATTGTTGTCCTGCTTTAACTACATTAGAGTAGGAAAAATTAGGGTTTACAAATAAAGTCTTAGGCTTATTAATTTGAACATTTTCTTTCTTTTGGGAAAGTCTTTCTTATCATTTTAGCCTAGTGGGGCATTTTTGTAGCTTGCCACATGGCCTTCTACATCACAGTTACAGCAATATACAGGCAATCCTATACTTTCCTTTACTTGCCCTGTTATTGGGTCTGTTACAAATATTTCTTCGATATTCTTTTCTTTTGGAGGAATCGGGCAATTACCTGGCCCGTGTTCCGAATTTCGGCATTTTACACACCTATAGGGCATGTTGCAATTACCTGCAACATGTATATGTCTTTGGCAATTTTTGCACATTATAAATCCTTCTCTTTTATAATTCTGGATTTTAATGCCTTTATTAAGCATAAACTGTTGTCTTCTAAATGCCTTAATGTCTGAGTCACGTGATAATTTGAAAATCCATTTATTTCTCTCTAATTTAATTAACTTCAAAAATTTAATGTTTAATTTTTCTCTTCTAGATAGCTGCGGATGTCATTTTCATCCCATGTGCTCGTTAATTTCTTGATGACTAATGATATAGGTTTCTCATCTTTAGGTGTGTACGTAAAAAATGAATATTTTTGTTCATTTAATACATTTTTGATTTTAGTATGGTCTTCCTTATTTATAACTTTTAGGGTTACAATATTTTTATTAACAATATTAATTGTGAAATTGTTATGTCCTAATTTCTCCCTGGCTTTAGTTACAATTTCTTTTACATTTGTATTATATATCTTAAATAGTGGTGGGGGCTGACCTTACCTGTTTTTCCGGGTTTTCCATTATTTGTGGTGTTGTTTGGATGCTTTGGGTGTTGCTAGCCTCAATTATTTTTTCTGGTATGGAGGTAATTTCCATCTCCTCTTCTGCATTTTGTATAATTCGGACTTTCACATTACGCCTCTCCTTGGGTTTGAGTTTTGGCTTCGCCATACTGAAGTCTTCGCTTGCTTAAGCAGCCCAATCATTAATATTTTTTGCACTACTTTCACTTTCGATGCTTATATTAGTATTTGGGGTTGAAGTGCCTATAAATTTTGGCTGTTCACTATTTTTGTTGTTGTTGTGTTTTATTGTTTCACTTAATTTGGCATTACTGTTTGCAGCTAATAGTTCTTTTAGCAGTTGAATTTCAGTTTCTAATTCCTTAATTCTGGAATGCGATTGTTCTCTATCTTTAATGAGTTCATCAATTACACTTTGTAATTTTATCACCTCATATTCTGAGTCAGAGCCACTCATAGTGTTTTTATTTTTTTCCTTTTGTGTTTAGGTCTCTTGAACGTATCATTGTTATTGTCCTCGGTAGCTATGCTACTTTGGTCATTAAATGACTCGAAGTTATCCATTTTCAAGAATTTGTTTATTTTCTAGGGATATCGGCAAATATGCCTTACCCTTTTTTACACACAAATTAACACTTCAATTCAGTCTTATTTTTCTCCTCTTTTGTAAGGAAAATTTTCTATAAACACTTGGCACTTCTTTAAATCAGTTTTTTAATAGTCAGTTTTCACTTATTATAAAGCCTTTTTTTAACTTGCACTTTATATTTATTTCACACTTCACTTATCACTTAGCAAAAATACGGAGTGATCAATGTATGTTATATAGCGAGCGGGTTACCTGATTTTATTTTTCCTTTACCAATGCCATCTATTGAATCAAATCATAAATTATAACATAATGCTATGTCACGATATCGTGACATAATATATGACAAAAGTTGCCTATGCAGGCAAAGACCTAAAATGGTAAAGACTGGACAAAATGCATTATAGAAAAATAGTTAATGTGAAAAATATATAGGGGCGCTGCTACAACAGTGAACTGTTAGCATAAAAATCATATTTACAGAGCAATTTTACGAATAACATTTTCTGTAAACCAAAAATTTGGACTCAAAATTGCATTCCATTGACATTTTCGATTACTTGAAAATTGCATTTGCTTTTAAAACAACTTTACATTGGTGATTATGTTGTTATGATATCGTAACAACAGAGGCAAATACCCCTGGTGACAATATTTTGACTCTGACTTGTCCTATCTTTATACTTCTATGTCTTTGATGCAGGTCCACGTCGTCGTATAGGCATTCGGTATTTTTAAGATTTAAAAGGATTTTATTTTTTCTTTTAGAAATTGCCAAATTTGCACCAAATAGTGGAGGTTTTTTTCTTTTTTGTTTTGTGATTGAAAGTTGAAATATTTTAAGATTGATAGAATTTATTTTCCACATATTTGCTCCATTCCAGAATCTTATATTATATAGGGAATATCGATTATTGTAGTAAAAATGTTTGCATTCTAACAGTTCTGGAAAATATCATTTTTATTTTGAAAATAAAAACCAAAAAATATATTTTTGGTTGCCTTTAAGTTATGAACCTAGCATGTTTGGGTAATTGGTCCTACGAAACATTTTACCACAGTCGGAAAGTTAAGTAAAAAAAAAAATAATGATCGCATATGGTTTTCATTCGCCAGTTAGGTTTTACTCATGCTATTTAAATGTAAATTTCTAGGAATTATAAAAATGCCTCTGGGAAAATTTAAGATAAATCTATTGTCTCTAATCTCTTTTCCAGCTTCGTGCATATATCTCTGGAAGGTATTTTCCATTCCACCAAGCTAGGTATAATAACATTTTCTACTCACACTAACGCCATCTATACATTATCTTAAGAAGTCAAATATGAATTCTAAACATCGATGGTTAAAAAAGATATCGATTTCGGCCTGATAGTCAAAAATCGACTAGTGTATCCCTACAAAGTTTGTCATCTGTTGTCTTAGTTTTTGTTTTTATTATCATTAAAAAATTAAAACATTAAATATGAATATATCTAAAGCCACAGGCGAACAAAAATTGCAATTGTGTCGTACTTACTTTCGTGCTGGATTTGCATTGTTGCCATTTCTGTGGTCGGTGAATTTCTTTTGGTTCTTCAAGGAGGCGTTTGGCAGAAACTCATATGCGGAACAAAAACAAATCAAACAATACGTCATATATTCAGGAATTGGAACATTTATTTGGACGGTGGCTTTAACAGCATGGATTATTATATTCCAAACACAACGAGCACAGTGGGGAGCGACGGCTGACTATATGAGTTTTATTATTCCCCTGGGGAAACCTTAATTTAGCATAATAAACATGACATATTCCATTTTATCTCATTAAAATTGTAAAATAAGTTGATGTAAGTATTAATAAAGGATGAACATTGAGTCTTTTTCAACAAGTGTGTTCGTTCTCTGTAATATTGTTCTAAAGAAACAAATCAAGGTAAGCCCCGGTAGTGGATAACTCTGACAGGTAAGGCCTGTATTAATTTACCATCAGAAAAACAAACAAGTAAACAAGTTCAAAAGTTGGGTGGGGACGACTATATAATACCCTATACCCTATATAGAGATACGCGTAACAAATTAACGTTTATATTGCGGATTTATGTAAAGTAGATAATTCCAACTTTTGAATGTGTATTATAGCTCCAGAGCAGTTATAATTTGGAATCAGAGGGAACTAATATATGGGAAGAATATCCAACCCTGGATCGATTTCTTCCAAATTTGAGGGAAGCATTTGTTCCCCTCGTACCAAATTACAAATAGCGTAAAAATCGCTACAACCACTACCTTCAACAGGCAAAGAAGCTACTGTAGCGGTTTAAAATAGAAAATCGCTATAACTCTTAAACAGTGGTTGTTATGATCTTTAGATATCGAACAACAATGTAACAACATCGGGTGTTACAATATTTATTATACCCTCCACCATAGTATGGAGGGTATATTAAGTTTGTCATTCCGTTTGTAACGCTTCGAAATATACATTTTAGACCCCACAAAGTATATATATTCTTGATCAGTATAAAATTCTATGTCGATTTAGAGATTTCCGTCCGTATGTTTGTCTATCCGTCTGTGGAAATCACTCCAGCTTCCGAACGAATTGAAGTGGATTGCTAAAATTTTACTCAAATGTATATTATGTCTGCAGGACTTTTGGTATTGAAAATTGGCAATGTAGGTCCACGTCTTCGTATAGCCCCCATATAACGGTACCTCCCGATATTCGATATTTTGAAGATTTTAGCGTCATTATTCACCGGAATTGTTTTAAATTTGGTATATAAAGTTCGAAGTGGAAAAAATGCGAAGTGGATATAAAGTTCGAAGTGGATACAGCCTAAGACTGAAAATTGTCTGCGCAGGTCTACGTCTTCGTATAGCCCCCATACAACGGTGAGATGGGTTTACCTTCAAGGCTGCTGAAGTCCTTGACAGTCTTGTACGTTTTACTTCCTAGTCTGCGTACAGAGCCTGTTAAATATATCGCAAGATGAATGGCTGATTAGGGTAGACAAGCAGACCGATGTACATTAATTGTATAAGGTCAATAAGCTGTTAGGTTTGAGCATAGTCTCCGGAAAGGATAAGGCTATAAAGTCGAACCTCTGATATAAATGTCTGCAACATGGACACGTTGCTGCAAACTGCGGAATGCCCCCAATTGTGAGAGGTGTAAAGAAGGACACGCTACAGTTCCCAAATGCATCAACTGCAAAGTGGAAGGCCACTCTGCGGGTTCCCTTTCCTGCGCTAAACGGAAGGCAATACAAGCAACTGGGACCCAGAAGAAAGATGTAGCAGAGTCTAAACAAACTGCCAGGTCTTGCCACATATCCGAGGTAAAGGCCAAAATGACTTACGCTACTGCTGCCTGAGGAAAACTGGACAGCACCAGGAATAAAATATAAGTTGTATGATTGTATAAGATTACCTTGGGCGAAAAAAATCCAGAGAATTCTTAAAACATTCCAGCTGAAAACTTATCTACGGAAGTTCATAATTTATATACAGTAGAGGCCCGACTTGCGTCGTCCCGATTTGCGTCGTTTCGAGTTGCTTCGCTTTTCAAAAACCAGAAAATTTGATTTGCGTCATTGCAATTTCAAGTTGCGTCGGTCCGAACTACATTGTGGATTACTTTTTTTTGCATTTGCAGTGCCTGATATAGCACCTTTTCTATCGTTTAAAATTTTTGCAACTTCTGGCAACGATCCTGGCGAACACCGTAGCACGGGCATAGCAGCATCTGTTGATCAAGCCATTAGTTGTTAAAAGGAAATATATCAACAAAAAAAGCTGTAAGTTCGGCCGAACTTTGAATATCCTCCACCAGTTGGTACAAATTTGACAATTTTCAAAAATATAAAATCCGTTAAAAATTCTGTTAAAATCTTAAAAATGCCGAATGTAGCCGTATATTAGGGTCCATACGACGACGTGGACCTGCATAGACAACTTTTGTCACAAGCTATTACAATATTCAAATGCGAAACTTAAAATAAAACTTTTTAAAATGTAGCTAAAATCATCAAAATACCGAATATATGGAGGAACTATGGGGGTTATAAAACGTTAACCTGCATAGACAATTTTCTGGCATAGGCTGTAGTATATAGTACGAACTTCAAATACAAAATTTGAAATAATTCCGGTAAATAATGTCGCTAAAATTATCAAAATACCGAATATCGGGTGGTACCGTTATATGGGGGCTATACGAAGAAGTGGACCTACATGGCCCATTTTTCACAGACGGATAGACGGACGAACATTGCTAAATCGACATAGAATTTTATGCTGATCAAGAATATATATACTTTCTGGGGTCTAAAATGTATATTTCGAGGTGTTGCAAACGGAATGACAAACTTAATATACCATACTGTGGTGGAGGGTATAAAAACCAATCAAATTGATAGAAGTGTTGTTGATTTAGATTTATCACCTGAAGAGAGTTCAATGTAATTAAAATAAATTACAACTTTTGAATGCATCTCCTTTATTCGAATATGTCTACATACATATGTAAATGAATTTAATTAAACCCTAAACCACATAGTGGTAAGGGTATTATGTCCTTGTGCATTTGTTTGTAACATGGAGAAGGAAACGAGATAGACCCATAGTTCCTTTTGGGGATCAGCATAGATTCACATTTGAATCGTTTTATGTATCCACGTCCGTCCCTCTGTCCATGTATTTTTGTATTTTGTATTCGGTATTTTGGTGATTTAAGAAATATTATTCACCGGAAATGTTTCAAATTTGGTATTTGAAGTTCGTATTGAATACTACAGCTTATGACAGAAAATTGTCCCGATATTCGCTTTTTTTTGATGATTATTGCGATATTATTCAATTCAATTTTGTTATTTAAAATTCGTAATACAGCCTAAGAGAGAAAATTGCCTGTGCAGGTCCACGTCTTCGTATAGCCCCCATATAAGGGCACCTCCCGATATTCGGTATTATGATGATTTTAGCGACATTATTAACCGGAATTTTAGTATTTGATATTTGTAATAGATACTACAGCCTATGACAGAAAATTGTCGGTGCCGGTTCACGTTTTGGTATATCCCCCAATGGTACCTCCCTATATTCGGTATTTTGATGATTTTGAAAAAAGTTTCGCATTTGAATATTGGGAAATAAAAGTTGACAAAAGTTGCCTATGTAATTCCATGTCGTCGTTTAACAGCTGTATTACATATTTTTAAGATTTTAACCGAAATTTTAATGGATTTTATTTTTTGGAAAATTGCGAAATTCGTTCCAAATGGTGGAGGGTATTCAAAGTTTGGCCCGACCGAACATACTGCTTTTTAACTTGTTATTATGAATAATGAGTCAACTGAATAAAAATAAGTAGCCATGGCAAACTGGTCGATTTAAAATGTTTTAAAAACCTGATCCTGTACCTGGGTGGACCTGGGAGCTACTGTTATATGGGGACTATGTCAAAATATGTACCAATGTTGAAAATTTTCTGTATATGGTTCTGTACCCCCATTGTAGTCTAAATGCACATTTTTAGTCAAATTGAATGGAACTGTGGTCAGAATCCTCGAAATAGGTGAAATCAGGAGGAACCTTTATTTGGGCCCTGCTTCAAAACATTGACCTACATTGACAATTTTCTGCGAACTAGAGGCCCAAATAGGGGCCAAATCAATTGAAAAAAATGGCCAAGACCCCGAAAATACCTGAAATCAGGAGATATCTTCATATTAGGGTATTACCGAAACGTGGGCCTATACTTATAATTTTTGAAAGAAAATAGTTTGAAAAATATAGGTAAAATATAAGAAAATACTTGAAATCGGGCTATACTCTTATATGGGAGCTATACCAAAATGTAGACCGACATGATCCATATTTTGTACAAATGATTTTACATGTTACCTATAGGACTGTATCGAATTTAAAATTCTTTCGTAAGATTTGTGGAGCATTTGAAGCTCTTTGTGTATGGTTAAGGCTATCTATAATGAAACCTAAAAAAGTTTGGAATGGGACCCTAAAGCCCGTTTTGGATTTTTAGCTACTAATCAAATGCTATCCACTTAGAATTTTTGCAACCCTTCGATTGGCTGTTGTACAGTATCATCTCGTTATTGCGCAAAGTCCCACGTAGAACGTTATCTGCAATTTAATTATCTTGAAGATTTCATACGAATTTTCGGGGGATATGAATTCTTTATATATATATCTATATATATATATATATATATATATATATATATATATATATATATATATATATATATATATATATATATATATCTATATATATAAAAATCAATTGTTGTTTGTTGGTAACGGAATCAGTTGAAAACGGCTGGACCGATTTGCATAATTTTTTGTACAAACGTTCGTCATACCCCGAGTTAGGTTTATGAAGAAAAAAATATTGACCACGCCTCCTTTTACGCCCACTATTACGATTTATCTGAAATCTTTATATTTGCCAAAATAGTGAAGATATCGGTTTGAGAATTATTACACGAGATGCTGTTGGCTTTCCATCCAACCCTAAGTACTTATTTAGGGGCTGAGGAACGCGCCTACTTTTAAATCTATCTCTCTATATGTAAAAGAAAGTTGTGTTAGTTACTACTCTTATAACATAAAGACCGCAGGTCTGATTTTAACGATTTAGACAAATTCGGAATTGCCTCTTGGCAGAAAAGAATAAAATCCAAAAAAATCGCATTAAAATGTGAAATTTGAACATTTTCATTTTGACTTTTAAAATGTACAATAGTAATGTTTTATATTGCATATTTTTTCCATTTTTTTTTTTAATTCTAATATGATGTGTAGGTTTTTTTTTTTGGATAATATAAAGCCACAACGGATAAAACTGTTATTTATAGATTTTATGT